ACTGTCTGGGTGAAATGCTGTTTCAGAATGCTGTTGTGCCCACAGACAAATTAGTGCTGATTGGAAGAGCACTGCGGCTCTTATTGCTGACAGTATTGCTGTTTTGCAGGAAACTAAGACTACCCCGTGGGTAGCCCACTGACTCACGGCTGTACTTGGCTAACCAGTTACTGCCTCTTGGGGAATTTTGGTCACAGCTGGCTAATGATGCAGCCCAGATCTGAACCTATAGTTTTTAAACTACAGTATAGTGCTCTACCTGCCGGCACTTTGAAAAAAGTGCCTTGAGTTGAGTGAATCAGGCATGCAATGTACTGTATTTTATTTTTATTTCTGGAATTCATCCTTGATATTTTTGCTGAATTATTAACACATATTTTGCATGAGTGACTCTCAGTTGAGATCTCTTTGGTGTTTTTAGGGTCTTTCAAAATAAATACGTAAGTATACAGTTCTAGGGCACAGAGCAGGCAGTTCTTTTTATTGCATTATGCTGCAAGCAGATCTTTTGCTAGCTTTATTGCACAAAAAAATTAATTGGTGCCCTCTTTAGAAACCTATTATTTAACAAGTAACTTGTGGGGGAGGGTCAATTTAAATGTGAAAAATATATAATCGACAAAGTGCAACAAACATTATACGAAGTAACATACAGCTTTGCCACATGCACCTTGAGTTGATGCCCAGAAACTGTTTTCTAATTTGTCCTTGTACTCTATATAGCCAGTTTAATAGCTTTTTTTTGGTCATACTATAAGTTTTTGCACAATTCTCTGTCTCCGGATTGAAAGACAGTAGACCACACTTTGTTTACTGCGAATATCTTTGTTAATCCATGGTTACTGATTGGGTTCTATCCAGATCTTGCTGGTAGGAACACATCTATCCACACAGTAATTGATCTAGGATGTGCCCACCTCAGTAACCTCAACAAGATCAGTGGAAGTGTGTTTGAATATTCTCCTATGAGTCGTTTCAAAAAAGTCTATGGGGTCCTGCTCGGCGGTGCAAGACCAGCGCTGTGCGGTCTTTACTGCAGGTGGCGCTCTCTAGCTTCTGTTTATAAGCAAGAAGGCCTGGTTAGACTTTCTCAAATCCGGACATGAAAAGAAGCGGTACGCACCTTTAATGGTGGTGTAACAGTGGTTACTCTACTTTGTTGTTGTCTCTAGTGGGAACGCAGATGGACTGAAAGTACTTTCGTAGTGGTTTTTTTTAAGATTGCTATGATTGATGTGCCTCGCCATGATAGAGACAGCTTCCAAATGCCTGTTTTCATATTTACTGATGACGTTGAGGAATGTTTAATCATTAGCATGCGGGTGGATGTGATCATAATAACAGTAGAAAATTTCTAAAGTAGGTAAAAAGGGTGATATTTGATAGTCTGATATTCCAGATTAAATTAGCAAAATCTGTATAGAATTTTGTTTTTCTTTCTCCTTGCTGTTAAAATCAGCTGTGCAATCCATTCTGTCAAGCGTGAATCCAGGGAAGGTTTATGATAAATAATTATTTCCTTTATTTACTTAAATTTAATTTACTTAAATTTAAACTGTTCCTTGTAGAGTATATGCTTCAGTATCTGTATTGTGTTGAACTTGTTGCATCCTACAGTACATTTTCCTTGATATTTTGCATATATAATTATTTTATACATTTTGAGAAGTATTGATTTTTTTGTTTAAGTAATGAGATTTGTATTCAGAAAGAGCAGCCATTGTTTTCTTTCAAACTGCATTTAAGAAAATATCAAGAGAATGATGATTTCTTCCATATTCCTGAATGTACAGTAAGTACCTACAAAATACCAAATTTATTCTCAGTTCTTTGCTGTATCCTATCTGGCATTTAATTAAATCAGATGTAAAAATAAAATTCCTTTTTAGTAATCTAATAGATTTATGAGCATTAATTGAAACTCCAAGGGTTTTAAAATATATTGGCGCAGTTGTCCTGTGGGCCATGAGAAAATTAACGTTATAAGGTGGCTCGGTATTGATCCAGTAAAGATAGACTTCCTTGGGGAATTTTAATTCAGCTATCATTTTTTCAGCTCCAGAAGTAAGAGCATTTGCTGGTATGTTTTATCTTATTTTAAATTTATTTTTCAATTTTTTTTTTTATCTGAAGGACCTCAGGTTTTTTTTGTTACTTTGGAAGCATCATTGGCTTCCTTTAATTAACTATATTTTCTACCCAAAGAAATAAGATGTGACCATAAATTAGGTTTATCTATGTCAAAAAATCTATTTTTTATATTGAAGACTAAAATAGAGACATTGCCTGTTGGTTCTCTAAGTGAATTAGCACAGCACCTAGGGAGTATAAGAATGCGTTGGGGAATATCTTTCACCAAGTGACAAATAAGGGGTCCACTAGCTTAGGGAGAAAACTCTATGCAAGCATTTTTTGTTGTTGAGTATGACAGAACATTAATTTAACAGTAAGCTGATTGATACATACTATGTGCCACTTTTCCCCTTGTGCCAATATTTTTTTAGTGATCATTAACTTTATTACACATTATTTTATTTAATTTTGGCTTATGTTAAAGGGGAAATCAAGAGTGAAATCAAAGTTGAACATAAACCATACCAAACTGCAGTCCAGAACGCATTAGATCATTGTATACGAGCTGTAAGCTTCAAAACGCTTCCAAAGGGGGAACTCAAATATTTGTTGTCTGTACTGTATTTACATGTGGATGGATTCTGAATACAAAAATGATGTAGATATTGCAGCTGAGAAGTAGAATGAAGAAGTAGGGTTGGTTCAAATAACAGAAAAATAAACTCATGGATTAGAGCACAAGAGAACCTGTACAGCATGTTCCATCATTCAGAGTGAAGAAACTAAAGTGACAATGGACCTGACACAGTGAGAAGAATGCACCAGTATCAGACAAACATCCTGAATTAGATCCAAACTGATAGCAAATGCAAGGGGAATGAAGGAGAAGACCTCCTTTAAAATGGCAAGATGAAATCAATAAATTCACAGGAGTATGTCTGTTGAAGGTAGCTAAACACCGGACTATGAGGAAGATCCATGGGAAGATCTTCTGCTCCAAAGGTCCAATGACTGAGTTCGATATTAACTGTTGTTCAGCTTTATACTTCTTTGTAAAGCATCACCCATGTTTTACATAAAGTATGATGATAAGAACAATTCTTATGATATTGGTCATTCTTATAATACTGTCATTTAAATGGCATTATGGTACTGATACACTTTATTCATTTTAGTGCACATTGGTTCTATAATGCATGTGACTGTAAAACAATATACAGTAAAGCAATAACATGGACAAAATGATAGGTGTTTTAAGGTGAATCATTTTTATAGTCTAATAAGCAAATAAGCAAGAATTACATGTATAATGTTCACTTTTCAAACAGTGAAAAAACTTTCCAAACATTGTAGTATCTTAGGGTTGAAAATCTTTAGTATAGTGATATGCCTTTATCAAAGAAAATTTTACTGCATTTTGATGTGTAGGTTGAAGGCTTCAGTTCTTGATTTTTCTTCACGTGTGTTTCATGCATATTCAAGTTCAATGCTTTCATTTATCAGTGTCTTGCAGCTCTTCTTGCTACGAAAGATCACTTTAATTTGAAGTTTCTCTTTCAGAATTTTCACCATTGATTACCAACTATCTTTTATGTGAGAAATTAAAGGATAACTATGGAAATTAAGATTAGTCACAGTGTACGCTAGAACTGTATCAAGGCATTTTACACACTATGTAATTGTTATGAAATCAATGTATTGACACTTGACTGCAAAGTTGAAGATTTTAGTAATAAGGCAGGGATAAAACAAAAACAGTTTAAATAAGGACAATGCAAGGGTAAAGGTTTCACTGGATTCAGCTTGTTTTATGTTTATGCCAGATGATATGTCATTGTGGATTCTAGGCATAGAATGTCTTACCCAGAAGTGTGCACCAGATTCCTCCAGAATAAAATGTACTGTATACAGCACACGAAGCCCTTATTTGATCTTTATTTAACCGTCTTTAGACTAACCTGTGGAAACTGCTATAAGTATAGGGGAGCTTTTATTACATGAGAATGGATTACACCAGGCTTCCTATTCTATTACTTTATTAAAATCAATATACGCTTAATGCAGTTTTGTATTTTTATGTTCCAGCAATCCATATCACTTTTCCATTATCATCTTCTCTCGGATGCTCATCAAGATGGTCGGGCATTTTGACGGTCCAGCTAAACACGGTGCTGTGCAGAGAACACCAGCTCATTCACATTATCTGGTTTCATCACAACATATCATCATTTCTCTGTATATTTGTACCTCTTATTGGAAGTAAACTGTTATACTTATCACAAGAGGTTATTCATATCAGCCATTGTGAGCAGGTCAGGAAGAGGGAATTTGCAGTGGCTCGGATAATACTTTATCTCCATACTTGGTTCTTTTATCTTCAGTACATGGGTTTGAAAAGAGCCTGAGGGAAAAAGACAATGCTCTCTTTATACCCAACACTTCATACATGAGCATGAGCTGGGGTGTATTTTGTAGGGGCTGTATAAACCTCTTGAACACAGCAGTGTACCTTAAATATACAGTATAATATGACTGTTCATTTTTTAATTCTGAAATTAAAAAAATCTGATTAATTAAAAATGGAACTTTCAGTTTTAGTTAAGTATTTTGCAATAATGTTTAAACAAATTTATCTGTGAACTTTTTAAGAACATAATTCTATAAGTGCTGCATCTATAAGTAATATAACTGGTCTGATTGAAGAATGGACAGATTAAGTAATTTGTGTCATTTTTTTAACTTTTTGTTTATCCAGGAAGGGAAAGAAAATGATTGACTTGACACCAAATTTTTAAATTTGAATTGTATTATCTATCAGCACATTGCTTTCAATGTAAGCCAGTGTAACTCACACAATATAAAATGTCTTATGTGTAAAACACGTTTCTTTTGCTGACTGAAATCATTCAATATAATTTCAATTGCAGGTCATTATTTACCAATACATACTGGACAATCTTTCCTCTGAAAAGAAGTTATTTCAAAGGACCTGGAAGCATTGGATGAAGATGTTTAGTAAGCCTGAAAAAAAGAGGATCCGTAAACTGACGTTTCCCAGACTAGTGTTCTTAATTTTGTCTTTAATAAACTATAGTGCTTTTGGTCAGATAATCTGTAGCAGACAGATGTCCACTGATTGGCACTTACAGCCACAGAACATCACAATCAAGTGGACCTTGACAGAAAATATTTGCTCAGATGACTCTGAGTGCTGGAATATTAAAAAGAAAGATGGGGAAAAGCATATGTCCAACATTGAACTTTTTAACTTCCCACAAATATGTCCCCTTCATTTACAACTAGGAGACAAATTGTTTGTTTCTTTTGATTCAACATTAGAATTATATGGGATCAAGATTATCAATGTGTCCAAATATGAATTTGAAAGTTGTTCTACAACTAGCTATTCTGAAGATCAGGTACTCTTCATGAACGACATGAAGGACGATAAAGAAGTTAACTCCAAGTGGCTTACTCCTGCCACTCATTACTTTATAGCCATCCATGAAGACAATCCTCAGTTATGCAAGTTGGGTCTTCGAATTAATGTGACTGTGAAGGAACAGTATTGTACAGGCTCCAGAAATGCACAGCTTTGCTCTGGAAATGGGGTTTGTTTGACTCGTGTCTGGGAAAAGAAGTACAGCTGCCAATGCAACAAAACCTATTCTGGAGAGTTCTGTGAAGAGTACGATGCTTGTTCTGAAAACCCTTGTTGGAGTGGCGCAACCTGCCGGAGCCATGCAGTAACATCCCATCAGAGCAAGCCATATGAGTGCATATGTCCTTCCAAGTTTACAGGTAAGGAGAATAGGCTTTAGTAACACTGCCATAATCCTATTGTTAGGATCTGGTGTTTGCAATGAAAACAATTCACCATGCTGCAGTTTGCAGGTTCAGGTTTGCTCCAGCATACCTTCAGTTATGAAAAATTAAATAAACAATTTAAAATACCATAACAGAACCCAATTAAAGAGAAATAACATTTCTGTGTTTATGTACCTAATGATTTTTTTTGTTTATTGTAATTACCTGGTTTCCACATTTAGATTAGTGCAGTTATTTGAAGTATACACTGATATGCCTGTGGGCTTTATATATGAGTAACATTTTCTTTTAATTACCATAATTATTCATTAAATTGTTTTCTGTATTACCTGAAAGTCTTATGCATTGACCTCCGTCTTTTTTCTAATTTCCTTTTTTGTCAGAATTAATTCCACAAGTTTAAACACTGGTTCAGCTTTGGTGATTTGAGTGACTTGGAGCAGCTGGCAGTTGAATACCTAGTGATCACAATTGTTTCCTTATTCTCTGGTGCCACTTAATCCTTCAGATGCTATAAAGGAGCATCATAGCCATTGAACCTGGTGTTTTTAATAGGTGCCTATAGTAAAAAGTTGGAGAGACATTTTTGTATTAAACTAGCTGCTAGGTCTTTGTAAAAAGACTGCTTATTAAAAATGTTTTGCTTCTTTCTAGTGCTTCCCTTAATAGAAAAGGTGTAAGCTACTGGTGATGTAACAGGCAAGGTATGTCTGTGACTGTTGACACACATTTGGTGAATCTGAATGAGGTGTATGCTTCACAAGTTCCCTCCTGCCACATAGTTTGTCAGGATGGTTCCAGATTAAAGGAAAACATTGTGAGGCTCCATCTGAACAGTAAGATGGTCTTGCCAACTCCAGGGCTTTTAGGAATTGTGATCCCACAAACGCTTCACCATTTCTGATCATTTTATTGTTTAATGTTTTAAAAACTAAAGTAACAGGTATCCTGCAGTTCATTAAATACTGAAAGACAATATTTAAAACAATCCATTATTATAGAGCATTTTTGTTACTCATAGCACATTTCATTGTTAGCACAAACTAATATTGTTTTGATGTTATCTTAACATTAATAGAAATGCTTTTCTTTACCAGGTATCCATTGTTTTGATGTCATTGGTAACTGCAGCCCTTCCTCATGTCATAATGGAAGCTGCCACATCATAACTCCAAACTCCTTTCAATGTGTCTGTGACCAGGGGTTTACAGGTAACAATAAAACTAATTAAAAATTGGTCAATTTGAAATTTTAAGTTCACTTTGACATTTTCCTACTTTTTAATGCACTTCTGTTAAATGGATTTTGAATGCCATCTTTATGATAAGTATCCTAAGAATTATCATGTATAACCGTAACAAATTTACAAAGTAATCAGGAAAATGTCAAAGTATTTGTACTGTAGCAGGGGCACAGATATTTAAACATAAAACTAAACATGTATGATATAGGTAGTTTCATTATGCTAGCACAGTAACATTATTTATCAACAAAGGGTCTTGTAAGTCATTGCTAGTAATTTGTGTGATAATGATAATGTTTCTTTATTAGCCCTATACAATTTCTTGCATTAGGAATTTGTCTTTTCACATACCCAGCTTTTCTCCATGAGACACAGACAAGGAGAGAAGCCTGGGGTCAGAGTGCAGGGTCAGCCATTGTATGGCACCCCTGGAGCAGTTGGGGTTAAGGGCCTTGCTCAGGGGCCCAACAGAGTAGGATTCCTCTGCCGGCCGTGGGATTTGAACCAGTAACCTTCCAGTCACAGGCACAGATCCTTAGCAACAGAGCCACTGCTGATCATTGAAAGCAATACAAGCCATACATCTGGTACACATGAACAAGTAATAGGTTTATTCCATGCTGAAAGGAGAAGAAAGAAAACACGTTTCGACCGTGGAGCCTTCTTCAGATCTGGTACATGTTCTTTACACCAGGTTAGAAAGGTTGTCTTGTGGGGTCCTTTTCTCTAGCAGAGCCTGGACAACTATGTGCCTCTTTTTTAATATCTGAGCCCAAGATATAACACATCATTCCAACTCATGCCACATACTCTATATTCCATTCTGGTGAGTAGAATATCCATAACATTACTGATACATCTGGTAAGATAGCCTTTATTACATAAGGACATGTTGTTCTGCTGGAGTGTTGTCATATCAAGATGAGCCTTCAGGAAGGGCAGCAAGTGAAGTCACATGACTTAATCAATATTGTACAGTGAAGTAATGTTACCATTAAAGTAGAAGTGTAGTTTTGCACTCCTACCTAGACCATCAAGCTTGTATGATTATCTGTTGAATTCTGTGGATTCTTGTGTATCTCTTGTTCTCCCATATTTTCATGTATCACACAATATGAGGTTAGAAATTGCAGGTTGTGAACACCCCAGATGAGGAGTGGCCATTTGCTGATATAGTCCAGTCCCCATCATACTAACATGATACTTTCATCACCTTCACCCAAAGAACTCTCAGTAATTAAATGATTTAAAGCTTATGCAATATTCAGTCACTAACATGTCCATCAGTCAAGAATAACTAATTAAAGATGCCAAAAACCTTCAATCATCATCCAACGTGTCTAAATTATTTTTCTAAAAGCATGAATGCATAAATACATTGATGCCTTTTTATGCTCAGTATATGCAACATAAATTGGATTAATTCTGTGATGTTAAAGTACATGTAATGCATTTATTTTTATATTTTCTATAAAAGAATCCATTAGGGCTTAAGAGAAAATGAATATACTGTATATAGTATTTCATGTAGTATTTTCAAAAAGCTTTCTTGACAAAACAGTTTACTTGTACTTTGCCTCATTTGTAAAAGAAGTTCACAAAAAACTGTTCATTTATATTAAGTAATCAATTTCCCAAATCAATTCACAAATTAATATTGAATGAGCAATTTATTACTGTAGAATGATAAATTCTCATTTTTGTACTGTTACAAAAGATTAGAGTTTGGACCTAACAATGAAGATGTTAGTAATTGCTTTGGTAGTTTCATATGGATAATTTTATACACGAATAGCATTTTTTCTGAAATGTAAAGCTTACATAAAAAATAAAAAAGTTACATAATGAAGAAAGGCTGACCTATTTTTAAACTGGGACCCATTTTAGATTGCTGCCAGTTGCCAAGACTCCCTTTTTGTTCTTCTAACCTTTTTGAACTGAATGTGAATGCATCATTTTTCTGTGCTGCAGATGCTAGTGAAAGAGAATAAGATATCAGATTTAGGTTAATGTATAGCAGGGTTAAACCAAAAATCTTCATTCCTATACTTACCTTTTTATTTTTTTACCTATCAATTTTGTTTTTAATGAAGAGAATGGCAGAAAATATATTTTTCTCAAAAACTAAGCTACGGTAGTGTATTTGTACATGATACAGAATGTATAGAAGTGGTAACTGAATGTATTACAATGATAGGCTTGTTATACTGTACAGAACTACAAAAGAACAAAAAATGTTTAGTTTTATTTAGCATTTAGTTGAATTATTTTTATACAAAAGTGACAGGAAGGGAATTGATTTCAGCAATGAGAAAAACATCTTACAGAAAAGCCCCCCTTAAGCAGTAGCATGGTGTGGTGAGGCCAGGCCAGACATAGTGTAATAAAATTACTGTCCCACCCAAATATGGTTTGTGATCTAAGCCTTAACCAGTTTTCCCTTTTGTCTTAAACCTTTTTTTTTTTAAAAGAATGAGTGCTTTCTGCCTGAACTAGCTGTTGTAGATACTGTATCCTACAAAGAGCTCCCAACTCCTCTCCCAGTGGAATACTGGCTCCTCAAAGAGTAATCTAAACTCTAAAACCTTTTAAACACAAGCCTAACCTGATCGACAGGTAAGCACTGAGCATTATTAGTGACCCACTTCAGTGCTGACTCTGAAACTAACTTAACCAAAAGACTTTGTCTCACCACAAGTCTTATCTTTAACCAAATGGACTGGTCTTACCATGATAATAGACTAGGCCGAATTAACCAAAAGACTAGACACTTTCACCTGTGTACTTTATACAATACATTTTGTAACAATTGGCATTCCTGTTGGGTGCCTAGCATGAGCTGAGGGGATTTAACCAACCTAGTTTTACAGTATGAATTACATTATATTGATAAACAAGTGGCCATAACCTATGTATTCTTTGCCAGCCCTCAGATAGTCCTCTTTTAGTTTGTCATATGCCTTTTCTGCATCTAACAAAAGCACCTCACAGAAGATTAATTGGTATGAATCTTAATATATAGTGCCATATTAGAAAAAATCATTCTTTCAGAATCTGCTGATTTATAAAGTGCCTTACAGTACGTATTTTTTTCTAAAGAACGTTTGCCAATCGATTTACAGTATATCTTGAGTTAAATAATAACAGCTTGTAGTCCGAGCATTCTAATCTTAACCATTTTAAGATGTAAACAATTTTAAAGTGATTATGGATTTTTATGGAAGCTGTCAATTTTAGATGCAAATGTTATTTAATTAAGTATTAAGTGGCCAGCTGGAGCCCATACTTGCCAACAGTAGCTCTGGTGAACATAAGCAAAGTGGAAAGGTTACAAATGAGAAGAAGCCATTCATAATCCAACCTGACTAGTTGCTAGAACTTTATTGATTGGAAGACCTCATCCAGCAGATTCTTGAAAGAAGAATTACATATACAAGGTATTTTTGTATTGCGTTAAATGTGCAGTTTTCTCATCCCTTTTATGGAAGGGCACTACATTATATATTATATAATTTTATAGTCAACGGGTACTAGCCCTGTCTTGAGCAACTGCTGGAAGCTCCATGAATTTTAAGTTGGAGTTTCATTAATAAGATATGAATAACATATCTTGGATCCTGATGCACAACTGGCAGAATACCATCAGACCCTGGAGATTTTTAATCTTAAGTACCCCTTGTACCTTTAATGCTTCTACCTCTTCTGTGTTAATACTTTGATACACTCATACACTGCACTACACTGCTCATAACCCCGAGTGTCCCGTGTCTAGGACAGTGAAGAGAATCCAAGCGCAGGCGAAGAGGTAGGTAAGCAACAAGCTGATGCAGCAAGCGAGCAGGCAGACAAACCCAAATCGAAGATATAGTCAAAAAAACAAGTAAAGTGGGTAGCCAGGAGAACTTGAGAACAAAGTACCAGAGAAATCCGTAAGCAAAGTCAAAGAGAGGAAAGTCTGTGGCCAGGAAACCAAAAGAATGCAGCATAGGGAAAATCCTCAAGCGGCGTGAAGCGAAGGACGGCCAGAACACAGAAGTAAGCACAGAGGGAACACCAAGACTAGTAAAAGAATCACTAAGTCTGAGTGCCATAGCGTTGCAGGAGGTCTAAATAATATCGTACAGATAGGAGAGGTGTGGTGATTAGCTATGCACAGGTGGAACCAATCTTCCGCCAGAGTGTGTTGTCACAGCAATCAGTTGATTGACAGATCTAAATGAAACTGTCAGTTGCTGTGGTAATTCTGGTGCTATCATTCGCACTCCAGTTGGAGCAAGCATGACTAATACAATATAATATAGAACACTATCCTTTTGCAGTCTGAGGCATGTTGTTCATTTCTTCCTTTGATGGTGGAATGTTATTTAAACTGGAAGATTTCTGCTCTGTAATGGATTGAGTTTGCTCCTTCAGATCCCTTCAGCCTGTACAGTTTCAGTTGGTTTAAAAATTCTTCAATCTTGGTCATGTCTGTGCTAGCATCAGATGTATAGTTAAAGAAAAAATGTCCTGGAAGATTTTACTGACCTGCACAGAGTAAAATAGAGCACAACATTATTATGATCTTTGATTGTCTCAGAAAAAGGTAGACATTCATTTTTCTATTAGTCGTTCATTACTTTATGTACTGGGACGATTTCTCCTGTTCCAGACTAAGTACTAAAACTTTTATATTCGGTACTCCAAGCAAATAGATGTCAGATCTTAATCCTGAAATGACACTTTTATTAATTTTCCAGATGCTGGATTGTATTTTGCATTTACATTTTACATTGTGGTATTACATTTCTGAAGGAAATGCTTACCAAATCCCCTAATTAAGAACTTAATAACCTTATACGTTAAGGATTGTTGTTACATTCTGAAACATAATCTTCAGTGTGATGTTTTAGGCATCTCATTTTGAAGAAAGAGAGAGTTCTTGGAGTTGCTGCCTGGAAAAAAAAACGGAAGAGAAAACAAGATCAT